CGTTTGCTTCACAAAAATCCCAACCATTGGGAAAATCCCGACAAGTTTGATCCCGAACGGTTTATGGGCTTTGATAAGGAAAACCTGGAAGAATCTTCAAAAATATCAAGAATGTCATATATTCCATTTGGATTTGGGTTTCGATCATGTCTTGGGCAAAGATATGTACTCAATACACTTACGTTAATAATGGGTCTGTTGACTAGGAGATTTGATATAGATGCAGTTCATAAGACTGATGAAATTACATGGAAAGAAGCTATTTTTTCTGACCAAGCAGTAGGCGGTCTCTGGTTAAAATTTACTCCAAGAATGGCTGAATAGTCAAGAGAATAATGAAGTCATAAGATTACTAATACATGGATTGTTGTAAACTAAGCAGAGCAAAAGGGCATTTATTTGTTCTTAATTTGTACTTGCTCAAGACTGAAATGTGATTAATACATGCATATAAATTTATAAGAATAAATACATACTTTGTAATATTCTTCTCTTTCATCGTTTGGCTCATTTGTGACGCAATTTTTACTACCATAAAACTACATAATTTTATTTTATCCGACGTAACAATATATTGACAAAGAAAAATGTGGCGTATGTAAAGTTTTCAGAATTAATCAACACTGTTTATTATTCAACTAATTATTTATAAAGTTTGCATAGTAATGGCCAAAAAATAATACAGCGTGAATAAGCACCCACCCTTATCATAGTGAGGGGTGCTTATTCACGATAGGATCTGCAACTCTTACCGGCATTATTAAAATGATCGGTAAATCATTACGTAAAGTATAATCCACAACAGCGTTGAGGGGTAGCTTACAACAGTAAGCGTACTATTACGGTATCTGTGTTTGCTGTATACTTACGTAATTAACTACGGTGGGGGTACGTCATGCGGTTAACCTGGGTAATCTTGGGGGGGGGGGTGCTTATTCACGATCCGATAGCTTTACTTATAAGGGGTGCTTATTCACGGTAGTGTACGGTATTATTTTTAAACTAAAATGCTGAACTATATGATATAGCAACCAAGACAATAGTGATAAAAGTTACAAGTAATTAAGTCTTGCCATTGATGAAGATGACACTACTGACGAAATTCCATACGCTTATGTACATTCATATCGTCTCGCTAACCAAAAATCTATGAACTTATACCAACAATTATATTTATAACGGCAGTTGAGTCATTTGGCGCGCTCCGAGCCAATTAACTTGCTTTTTTTTTTCATCGTCAGGATTTTTAAAAATAAATCGGTTAATTATCTGACAACGCGGTTGTTGTTTAAAAAAACCAACTATGAATCAAAATAATCTATGTTTCCGTTCGATAAAATTTGAATAGTGAAACTTACTACAGTGAACTACCGGGTAATTCGACCGCACGATTATTCGATCTCGTCTATAATTCGATCTCGCCTATGTGTCGTACCTGAGTATTGGACCAGCGTCAGTTCTGGACCAGAATTCAGTCAACTGAGTCCAGAACCCGGTCAACTCAGTTTTGGATCATTACAGACCCCCATCTATATTCCAACTTTCTTTGTTGTTTTCTTTCAAATTGCAAAGTTTTGAGTTTATTCACAACATTTAATACATAATAAATTGCATCTAATTTTAACACTAATATAAGATCGAGCTCAACATGTCCGAATTTTCTGTCTGATCGAAGGCGATGACCAATCGAAAACCATTTTCTCTGTCAAAATTTCCAAGTACGAGTTCATTGAAGCACTCAAAGTGGCCATCAAAGATGCAAAGCCGAACGTACTGGCTCACGTTGACGCAGACCAGCTCGAGCTATGGAAGGCCGACACTCCCTTCGGGTAAATCCCAGCAGCATTCAGAGCCTTCCTGCGACGAATAATTTACTCGCGATACGTCAGATTTCTGATTACTGGCCCGGTGAGATACCTCCGAATAGTATCCACGTTCTCATTAAAGTTCCCCTTCCCGGTAAGTGGCTTGCATTTTGAACATGGAGTTCTTGTACACAAAAACGCCGTTTTTTTTTTGCAGCTCTTCTCAGTGAGTCTGACTTTCTTGAGCTCTGCCCGCCTCCTCTTGGCTACATTAACAGAAACAGAAGTACTGGAAGCGCGAGGTCTTTATATGCACACACGCCAGGATCTGTCGTTACATGGAATAACTTCGAAAATGATGTAAAATGTCGTATATAAATCCCGTCAAAGTACCCCATAAATCGAAATGGGTCCCTAAAAATTCTTGTATCTGATAAAAGACGTACTGTATAGTAGCATACAATATTTCATAAATAACTTTATTTTCTCAACATCGACTGATAACCGCTAATACTAACAATATTAAAAGCACGACTTCAACTATTTTATGACTAACGCTAGTTTTGTGACGTCGACCATCACATTTCTTTTTTGCTTTTCTACAACTACATCGCTATCAGCTAATAACCTCCTCGAACAACAAACTGAACAAGCTTTGCAAGCTGCTGCATAGCTTATAGCCTCTGGGAAAAAACAATATTGCTGGTTGAGGGAGCGCCATGTTGAATTTTGACCATAATGGCCTTCGCCACTGTGCATACGGCAAAATGTGTGGTACATTTCTTCTCGTGTGCAAACACGGAGTTCTTACAACTACATCTAATCTTGGTTAAATTGAAGAATGCTTTGAGTTACAGAATATGTTAGCGAATAGTCCTTCTATTGGTACGGAGATGTAAATACAATTGTGAATAAACATCGTCTGACATATCATTGTGAGTATGCTTGAGTACTAAAAACATTAGCGAGAAGCGAGAGCGTAATAAACGTGGCTCGGCACGTCATTGTGAAAATATGCTTTGAGTTACCGAGTACGTTAGCGATATTTCTTCAATTTGTAAATATTGTGAAAGAATGCTTTGAGTTACTGAATACGTAAAATTTTCCATTCAAATCAAAACTTAACCGTTTAGGTTTAAGCGGTGCGACACACACGACTTGTCAACCAAATTTGGGCTAAAATACGGACGGATCATGTGAAATTTGATAGATCTATAGTTACTGTTCTAATTCCACGTATCGATCGACACATTGTGGATCGGCCGTTACTACCTTGCAAAATAATCGAAAAGACAGACGGAAAGTATCGGCTAGGATATGCTTCTGGGATTTGAATGTTACTTACGGATGCAATAACTTGAACTTAGTGGAAGCAGCTGAGCTTCCTGAGTTATTTGATATACCTCAGCAACAAGTAACATTGAGAGAGGCGGCAAGAGGCCAAAGTGTTGTGTCGAGCAGCAGTCGACAGATACAGTGTGCTGGTAGAGGCAGATGCACTGATGGCCGATGTGGTTGTAGAAAAGCAAAAAAGAAATGTGATGGTCGATGCCACAAAACCAGCGTTAGCTGGTTGAAGTTGTGCTTTTAATATTGTTAGTATTAGTGATTATTAGTCAATCTTGAGAAAATAAAGTTATTTATGAAATATTGTATGCTACTATTAATATCGTTTTTGCTCATTTAATTTTATATCATTATTATTAACGCGAATTTACAATTGTTTTTTCTTGTCTTTTATTTTTATTATCGTATTATTCATATTATTCAATAATAATAATAATAAATATATTAATATATATATAATAATATGTGCTTTCGGAAAATGATCGACAAAATTTTCGGAAAACACACTTCCCCATTGGATTTTGTGAAATGTTCAGTGACTAATATAGGAAAATTTTTTTGTGGCTTGTCGATCATGTGAATTTGAATGATCGATACAAATTATGTGTAACTTCTTCTTATCAATCTATCATCTACATTTCGGATGACATCTTCGCTAAAGACACGAACTTGGCATTTGGTATTACACGGTGGTGCAACTTACCATTAAACATGTCTTGGGACGCGGAGTTGTTAAAACTTTAAGTCTACGGTATGAGTGAAAAGTTCGAAAAGTTGAAAGTTTTGAAGCGAAGCATGATAATAGACTTATATCACAGCCACATTTCGTGAGAATTAATGGACAAAACGGTTCATGAAAAAGATTAGATTCCTTATTTGTTTTAATTAAACCCATTGTCTAATTGTAATAATAACGAACATTTGTCAAGATGAATCTATATAACTTTTCTCTTTATCTTAAAGGTAATGACTTTATTGACTTTTTTATTTGATCTAAGGGTATTATTAACCTTTTCGTTTACTATTACAGAAATGTCTGATTCTGTCGCAAGGGGAAGACAATTTGAAGAAGTATTAAGACGCTTCTAAGAAATGCGGGATATATTACCCGTATAGGTAAGAATTCTTACCGAGTATTGTTTAATAGTTATTGTATCCGAAGGTACGCTGCCACTAGGTGTAAATCAGAGAATTGAAAGTTACAACAGAAAGATATTATTTTCAAGTATCCATTTAGTATATGTATCTGAAGTTACGCTGCCACATTAGGTGTAAAAAATCGGAGTTTTTCGAAAGCACATCGGGTGTAAATTATATCGAAACTTCGTTACCTAAAAAAGTTGTGCTGTGGTTATCCCGGACTTTGTTTGTGGTGAATAGGATACATGTAAAAAGTACTTTATGGTTCTTGATGTTTGTATGATACTGACTGTTGTGAATATTCTACTTCGTTACCGAAAGCTGTGCTGTGGTTGTCCCGGGTTGTGGTGAATAGGATACATTGACTATTTGAATTGAAAGCACGACGTGGCCGCAGCTTGCAAAAGTCGCCAGTCAGGTACCCAGTCCTGGCGTACGGTGGACGGCCTGCTGTGAACGTTCTTCAAATGATTTTGATTATGATGATACATATACTCATTAAATGTCTATATAATTACAGCTCAGATCCAAAAGATAAAGGGGGTGTGGATATCATCGCAGTATATAATGATATCCAATTTTTTATACAATGTAAATGTTGGGAAAAGGGGTTGATAGTGATACCCTTCACGCTTTGGAAGGAGTTCTTTCCAGATTCCCTAACGTTATTGGGATTTTGGCAGCTCCCAAGTTTTGTGAGGGGGTTGAAAATGAAATTAAATCATCAAAATTTGAAATTATATTGCCGAATGAATTTAATATAGTTTCGAAGATAATTAATTATACCCCTTCCAAGGAAACTTGGGGGCCGCGACTATTAGAGTTTAAAATGGAAGTTCAAGATCTCAATGTTCGTATTCAAGGTCTCGAAACACAAATGAGGGAACTTCAAAAAAATAATTATCTATTATATTTAATAATTTTTATATTGTCTATAATGTCTTCTATGAACAGCCGATTTTGCTGTTTGCTACGGAATTACTTAATTGGTCAAAATTCCACCTCGAGTATTTTGGATCGGGTGACCAGTTGGTGAAACGCATGTATTTTGTGACTGATTTGTATAACTTAGATTTCGAACACCAACTTGGTCACTTGATCATAAATAGTGACAATTCGCGAGTAGACGTCTGA